TGAATGCGAAGACCTCTAAGGACCTACTTGGGCTGGAAATTAGACAATTCTCCAACCTATGTATTGATCGAATACTGCTTGATAGGAATTCATGTGGTAAAACTTAACAGCTCCTTAGGCCCTTATTGCCGGAGCTTTTCGGCAGACGATTGGGTGGAAACATTTCAACATTTTCTTCTTAACCGCTCATATTTTATTAAAAACTTTAAAAGTTTTGAAGTTTCAATTCTATTGCCGGTTTAAAGGAAAACCGCCATTGCTATAGTAAAGTAAAATGAAAACGGCAACTCAAAACAATCAGATAAAAATAAATTTTCATTACTAAATAAGTGCGTATAAGCGAATGTGAGGATAGCCCATAGGAAATTGAGCATGTAGACAAACAAATGCTCATACATATAGAAAGTCCTGTTGAAGAGTGAGCTTTACAAAGGATATACATACATAATATATTTCATAAAACCCTTTTTGACTTTTGCTTTTGTTGTATAAACTAGTCAAAGTGAAGTTGGAGTTGGTTGAATGAAAAGGAAAAGCAACACAAACACCGGCAAGGGGATGGTAAAGCTTTTGTATAAATATCAAATAAATAGAGAATTATACTAAGGTTTAAGTGAATTAACTTCATATACATACGTCATGAATTAAGAGGCGAAAGTTGTTTGAGGGTGAATAGGTTGGATACTTGTGTGATTGTATAAAACGAGGCTGAGGTTAATGCCTTGCACACTACGCTTATGTATGTATGTCTATGTATAAATGCTTCTTATTAATTAGATTCTAAGTGAATTGAGTTCTAAAAGATAAAACTTCAAAGAAACTTTGGACAGAATGATTTATCGAGTTTCTCGAAAACAAAGAAAAAAAAATGTACTGAAACTTATTCGAGTAGAAAGTAAGTGTAGTTTCTTAATCGTGGAGAAAAAAATCTACTAGCGTATTAAAATAAAATACCAAGCGTAATGCCTAAAAACTTCTACAACTTTGGAAAACTAATAAACAGCTGAGAAAAGCTTATGCGCCCGAAAGTATACTTGAATTAACGGTTAAGCAGTAGAAAATTATGTAACTGGGAGCTTATTTAAACTGTAAATAGCAAACTCTCTTTTCCGGAGTTTTTGATTAGTTTGGATTATGACACTCTTGCCGTAAATGAGCGATTTATGTGCAAACAATTCATTGCATGTCAATTAAATAAGAAATTACCTTAAAGGCCAACTCTAAATTTAGCCAAGATAAAGTTTTTATGCACGCAATAAACGCCAAGGAAAAGCATTGCATGCTTTGTGGCGTTTAAGCTGCCAGCCAAGGCACATGTTAAAGCCATAAGTTACGTACATATCACGTATGTATATGTAGCACTAAATACAATGACGTAAATTAACGAAAGATTGTGAGCGGTAATAAAATAGTTCACATAGCGTTTATTGCAAACTTATTTTTAGCTAACATCATAAAAGTTCAGCGCCAACTTTCACTCATTAACAGCAAAAGTGGCCAAGGCAGAGGGATTTATTTGTGTGTGCAAATACATAAGTATGTGTGTTAAAAGGTTTTTAAACTATGTAGTTAAATTTGTGGTAAAGTTCGTGAAAACTATAAATTCAAGGTTAATGCGCGAACTTTGCTGGCGGCAAAGAGAGATAGTGACTATAATTTGCGCTAAGTTGCTAAGCCACAAGTTATGACGCTGCTCATACGCCATCATCGGCAGTCAACCGTTTGTTTAGTGTTTTTGAGCTAAAACTAATCACAAAATGTTGTTCATTTCTGCTAATTCTTAATAAAGTTATTTTGCGTCAGATGTTTTTATTTATCTTTGGTAAGCTATGAGTTTCTGGCTGTACTTGATTTTATGGCAAAATTTCTGGGTAATGAAAATATTTGGAATTTATAGTTATAACTTTGTGTGATTGCCTCTAAACTTCTTTTACGGCTGACATACATACATATACGAAATTTTACTTTTGTATTACTCCCTCCCAAAACTCTTGTGAGGGAATACTTTCAAACAAATTTTCGATTTAAGAAGCAGATATTTTTTAAAAATGTGGGTGTTGGTTACTACTTAGAAAGCATATAGAGTATCGGCTTGCTCCTGGAAAACTAATTTATAGTCTTGTAACTCTAGTGTACATATCGCACACTTTCTTCAAATGTGTAGTAATTCAATATTTACCTTATCTTATAAATTTAAAGGCGGATTCATCGCTTCAGAACTTTTCTCACAAAGAGAGAAATATAGCAACAATCACATGGAAGAAAAAGGTCAGAACTAGAACAATGAATCGGCCTTAACTGAAATAAATTTTTCAAATACAAATGTATGTACGTGGCATAAGGCCTGGCAGTTATGAGAAAACCAGGGAGTGGGGGTTAGCATGGTCATAGTGATAAAAACAGTGCTCGGAAGGTCCTCAGTGCGTTTTCGCGAGATCCGAAGATTTTGTCGCGTTATGTTGCAAACTCCGNTTTGTCGCGTTATGTTGCAAAATCCGTACGGAGATCGCAGTTTTTCGTACAAAAGGTAAAGCGAAATGCTTCATTGAGATGTTCTACAGCTCAAACAGCGCCAGACCGCGGCGCAAAGAAGAATATTACAGCGAAATCCCGCATTAGGAAGTTGTATGAATTTTAAATTAAAAAATACAACTGCATTGTTATGNTACTGCTATAAAAATTCAAAATATATTGCAGGTCAAGATTTTTATACTGCTGCAAGTCGTCAAGATGCCCCTGAAAGTTGTAAGTTGAAAATGAAGTCCAAATTTCCAAAAAACCACATGGTTTGGCAAGCTATTTGTTCCTGCGGCCGAAAGGGCAGCCCTTTTTTCCCATCCGGGACAATGAATGATCAAATTTATCGGGATGAGTGCCTCACAAGATGTCTTCTGTCATTTATCAACAGGTAAGGAGTAGGCCACTGTTCTAGGCGGCAATGGCAAGCTGCCAGTATGCCAAGGACACATTGCCGTGGTATAATGCAAATAACATCAATTTTGTACCTCA